CCCAACAAATTTTGGGTAGCTCCGCTAGTGCCTAACCTCAAGCCTTAGCAACTGTTTAATACGATACAAACATCATAGACATAACAATCCTATAGTTTCCTTCTCTCTCTCTCTCTCTCTCTCTCTCTCTCTCTCTCTCTCTCTCTCTCTCTCTCTGCGGTGATCCTTCTCTTTTTTTGCGGGATAATCCTATAGTTTCCTACAATTGATGTTTATCATAGTATGCTAGTGTTCCTTTGGTTTGAGGTGGGATTAACTAAGTAAGCTATCTGTATTGGGGGCAAAATGTTGCGACATAAACCAGCTCCATCAACGCCGGTTTAATATTCTGGTACATAATCTCTTGCTCTTATTTTCGTGATAGTTGAATGATTGATATATGTGTGGAACTAATTTAACATGGCCTAAAACTAATGTTTTTGTTCTGCCGCGGCAACCCGTTTTTGCTGCCATGGCATCTTCTTCCACAGGAATCCAGTTTTGTATTTTTTGTGGGTAGGAATCAAGTTCCGTTGCCATGGTAGCATTTTTCTGTCGCAGCACCCCATCTTCTCTCTGTTACAACGCACAAGCAATTTCCTTGTTATTTTAAAAGTAACTTTCATCATTAGTTTGACCACAAAACATAGGTTACATGTCATATAAGTTATACAATTGGTGTTGAAATGTATGGTACATTTTTTGTGATAAAATGTTTACATATAGTTGTGATGAAATTTATGATCAAAGTTTAAACATGGCAAAGGAGAGCATTAGAGCAACTCTAGCAGAGTTGTCATATCGGACGGTCTGCATAATAATCATCGTTATGGCGATTTTGGGCCAAAATAACACTTCATTAGAGTTGCCATATGCCTCCCGATTGGCATAAATTATAGAAAGCACGTCATATACAGACTGTGAGCCTCCATATTTGGAGGTTGTGAGCATTGGTTTGGAGCACTCGGCATCCGTTAACTACTCGCCTTGGAAGGAAGTTTCAGCCCGACATGTTTCTCCCATGCGCAACCCGGTGTATGGTTGCTGCTTCTGCCCCTACCAATGTGGCGGTTTCTTATCCACTGAAAATAGCGCTAACTAATGGCTGTGTCATGTTTTGTACATGTTTTCCAACGGAACGCGCCCATTTACTGGTACATAAACCCCCCCATCCACCCCTTTGCTAGTGCCACCACATTCACCGACTGCCCCCATCCCCGTCGCTGGCACACTGACCCCATCAACCCTCCTTTGTCGTCTTCCACCCCCACCCCCTCTCTTCCCC